GCAACAATGCCCCACAGGATGAGCCGTTCAAAGGAGCTCAAAGACATTTATCTAATGTGGCAGCAGAGGCTGTCTCAAGACTAATATGATCCAACAAAATATTTCTGTATTGGTTAATACTAAGAGAGGTTTTATTTTTCAATTCAAGAGAATAGTTTTCTTTGCGATACATAAGCCAGTGAAAATCATGTGAGATGTGTTTTTCTCTAAGGTGACATCATCTAAGTAAAAAAAAAATCTAAATTCCGTGTGTTACTGACAGTATATGTCACTTGATGAAATACACTACTGGTGCTCATAATGTAAGGATTTGATGTTTTGGCGTACTGAATTGTGCGAAACAGGATTAGGGCCACTGGGGGGAAAAATAATTCTAATTTTAATCTCAAAATTATAATTTTTTTCCCAGTGGCTCTAATCCTCTTTCGTACAATTGTACCCCACTATTTTAAACTATTTAAAATGTAGTTATTTGTCTTAGTTTTTATGTCATTTTTTACATATATGCACTTGATGTGACATTAATTGCCCACTTGGGACTTGAATAAACCTGAACTTGAACCTGGAAGTGATCTGATCAGTAATCCATACCAAATGATTTTATTGTTTTTTTTTTTTTCTGGTAAAGTAACTGTTTTTAAAATATTTTTACGATTTTTTTTGAAGGACTGCTAAATGCTTAAATTGAACTTTACCTACATTGGTGGGATAAAACCAGAGTCCCATAAAATTGTTTAGTAGTGCCATCATTATTCATAATTGTGCATCATAATTGTCAAAGATTTGAACATCACTGTACATTCATTCCTTAGGTTGGTCCAGATTTAGCAAAGGAAAAAGGGATCCAGGATCAGCATAGTTTATTAAAACCGCCATGACTAATGGTAGTGACAAGTGTAGGGAAGGAGATGGGTAGGTGGCTTTGCATAAGAGCCTTGCAAAGCACCGAGATGGCCCCAGAGAATTTCTTAAAAAATTTGTCTGGTCACCATTCAAGGCGTAGTCACAATCTCAAAAGTGAGGGGGAAAAAGTTTGTTTATTTATTTATTTATTTATTTATTTAAATGATTTATCATTTTCTCATATTCAATCGCACCTCTCCTTAGTGGCCAAAAACACATTTAATCAGTAACAACCACGATAGGACTGACGTTAGTTCTTTAAAGTATTTACAAAGAAAATCTAAAGCTGGAGCAGCCAGACTCTGGTTGAGTTGACATAATTACCCTCCAATATCTACAGGGTAAGTAGTGGGATGGTTAAGTGCCAAATGGTAACACTGAACATGAAATGTTCCATAAAACATTTCCTGTAAACAAATCATTACTTAGCACAAATAAAGGGAGTTTTTTTTTTCCTTTCCACTGTTGCCAATGTGCTGCTGAGGATGGGAAACTGTGATGAAGTGAAGATTTAACACAATCTGCTGGTTTCTTTAGATTGATTGTTTTTTGTGTGCAGTGCTCGGAGATTATGTTTGTTATGACTTGGAGCTATATAAATAAACTGAACTGAATTAAAAATGGAAGTGACATAACTAAATTTAATGGCATGAACAAAGAAAGTGACACAGCATAAAACATAACATTTTAGTCAAATGTAACACGAATGTGCAAAATCAATCAAGCTATAAAAATGACATGACTTATACCTGCTGCCTTTAAGGACATAAATAATGCACGAGTCAATAAATAAACTACATAGTTAAACATTCATGTCAGTTTTTGCTTTTGAACTAAAAAAACTGTCATTTTTCAGTTAACTCAAACAAAATAATATTATCAGTTTAATTTTTCTTTTGGACCCAAGTATAAATAACAACAAAATGAAAACATTTTGGAGAATGAACAAGAGTATTTCTGAAATATTTGTGAGAACCCTGTCCTGATACCTGCCTAGTTTCTCCCTGTAATAAGTTATAATTGGTCTTTATCTGAAGACTCTTGTAGGGGTCACCTCGAGTGAGAAAACAAGATTTTCTGCCTCTAAAGCAGGCCTCAAATGGGCCTGGAAAGAAGACAGGAACTCTGTTCCGCTCTGAACATTATTTATGCCATGACAGGCCATTCTAACCGTGGAAGAGAACCTCCCTTCCTCTTAATCAGATAAAGGACAAAATAATCTCCATTGTTCGTGATTCATTTGTCATTTAACTAAGATTGTTTATGCTTTCGTTAAATCAAAGATAATGCCTGTCACATGAAAAAAAGTAGAATGACTTCTTTTCTCTTATCGTGCCTTAAAGATTTAAAATGGTATAAAAACATCATAGAGAATCTGATTACAATGTTTTCATTGTGTTTTTAGGCAATTCACTGTTTTTATTTTACTGTAAACACAGTAATATAATTGTGGATTTTTCTTGAGAAAATCTTTCATTTATCTAAACTAACGAAATGGTTTAGTTGATTATGAACAGAAATGTTACAGGTAGTCATCATAAAATGTTTTTCCGTGATTTCATTTAGAGTCTCTCAGAGGATAAGTTAGTAGGTTACCATGATGTTTGTTTACTCAACCATACAGCAGTAACCTTGACTGGCCCCTGGCAAGACTTAACGCTTCCTTTCTCTGACTCTTTTTTACGCCTAGAGGCGTGAACCAAAGTTGTCCATTCTTATATGAACCCAGACAGCTTTGAGTACACTCTCTCTGACTTCCTGACTCAACAAGGAAGAAGCTATGGTTGTGTCCAAAACGGCAGGCCGGGTCCTCCGAAGGCCGAACTCATCGGCGGCATAGGTCATAGCCCCAAACCAAAGACTCCTCCGATGTGGCTGACAAATGTGTTCTTCCTTTGGCCCAAATCGAAGGACAGGTCTGATGGATCCTTCCTGGCCCAGCATATTCCATAATGCATTGTGGCCCGACTGGAGATTTTTTAAGCTAGTAATGGCGGACGAAGCGAGAGAAAGAATACGTTTTAAATAAAAATATGGCAATAGAAAATTTTTAAAAAATTAGCGGTTGTAATTCTAATACTTCTATCATTTTTATAGACATGTTTTTAAATTTTATTTTTGTCATAAAAAACGCGAAATAAACATGCACCTACAGCGGGTCAATTAGTTCTTCAAATGTTACCTTTAAGTTAATTTTATTGTTTTGTGATATTAATAACTCTAATATATTGATATTTTTCTAATTTTGATCTATTTTTGCTTCTGTTTAGCATCGTCATGGTTGCTAGGTGACATGACGTACGCTGGGGTGGAGGGGAGGCTAGACCGTCCAAATTCACAGACTCTTTTTTTCAGATCTTCCCGGTCTACCAAGGGCCCGACCCACCTCGACCGGGTAGTCTGGGTCCTCCGGAGGACCTGGCCTGTTGTTTTGGACACAGCCTATTTCTCCTCTTCAGAGGAACTCAGCCTGTGAGCTAAAAAATCCAACTCAAGCGCCAAAGAGCGGATTTTTACAGCCAGGGATTCGACAAGCTTGTCGGATCCCCATACAATGTTTCAAAACCTCCAAGTAATTATTGATTTTTTTTCCCTTCTTTCGGGGAAGTGGTTTTATTTTGAAGGTGAAAATTGGAACAGCTCGACTTTTCTCTCCCGGAATTGAGGCAGACAGAGAAATTACCGGAGAAATAACACGTGTTTTACCGATGGAGGTGAGCGGACTTACCGAGTCTTCCTGACCAATCAGAGGTGGACTAGTCTTGCTACTCAGAGGATGTCTAAGAAGTCACCAAAGGTAAAGAGGCCGAGGTGTTTATGGTGACGGGTCCAGCGGAAGCTGGGTTGAGAAAGAAGAGCAGATCTGGTTGGCTCTCATACTTGGTAAAAAGGTAAACAGTAGAAATCCTAATCTTACTTTTTCCTCCTTTTGTTTGTTACTATTTTTGCCTTGCCAGAATCTAAGTTTAATGTGCCAGTAAATGTTTGGTTTATTTAACATCAGAACTGACGTTTTACTGTTCTATCATAAGTATTCTGAGTTGATATTGATTGAATTCGGACGCAAATTTATATCTTATTAATTCTAAAACTTGTTGTAGGAAGCTGATTACCCACAATTAAGTTGTTAACTCATGATTTGTTTAATTTATGTAAATAAATGATCACATTTTGTTTATGGATCAAATTGAACTCATCTGAGTCACTCCACTTATGTGTGTCTGATTCACTTCGCACAGTCAAGATATTGACGAAAAATAAGAAATTCCTTGGTAAATAATTTCCTCTTAACTTTGTTATGAGAGATGAGGGAAAGCTTATATTTCTATAAGCCTACGTCCTACACTCTGCATCATCACGATACCTGCTGCTGAATGTCTTGTCCCTGGCTTCGCTGTTTGTACTGTGGCAATAAAGATTTATTTTAAATTTGAGAAAAGCAAGTGAGCACAACTTCTGCACAGAAACTAAAGAAGATTGTCTAAAGTGGGATTATTATATTTCACCAAGGTCTTGTATTGATGACAGGTGAGTCAGAGCACTGCAAAGTCTTCTCTGGCACATGGGAAAGATTCTCAATGGGTTTCAGGTCTAGACTCTGTTGTGGCCAATCCATGTGTGAAAATAATGTCTCGTGCTCCCTGAACCTCTTTCACAATTTGAGCCTGATGAATCCTGGCACTGTCATTTTGGGACGAGCCCGTTTAATCAGGAAAGAAAAACATCTACAGATGGAATAACCTGGCCTATCGATATACCAGTATATTCAGGTAGTCAACTGACCTCATTCCTCGGGCATTTAAACACAGGGCAAACAAAACAGGATAAACTGCTTCTCTGCATCGAGCCTCCTCTCAGAAGTACTTACTCCCTGAAATCTTTTCTCTTGTCATTTTGTGCTGCTTTCCTAAAATCACAACAACACTATTAAGGTAGTTTCTGCAGGACCTGTCTCATAAACTAGAGTTTTGTTGTGATGCCGCTCATTCAGCTGAAGCTGTCAGAATCTGTGTTTTTGTTGATGTTTGTTAGTCTTGAGTTTATGTTCTGTGCGTCTCGTGTTTAGATGCAACTCTCCCGCAGTCAGCTCTTCAACATTTCCTCCAGTCAACCACTCACACCTCTTGCTGCTCCCCAAACAGCTCAGCTGCCTCCAATAACTTATCTGCCTCTGCTCTATATATTTTGTCCCCTATCCTCATTCACATCAGTTCTGCATTGTCTAGTTCCCTGGACCATGTTTCTAGGTTTATCAGTAGCACCCAGTGCACATCTTTACTTGTAAGTTACCAATACATTGGCTTGTTTATTTCTTTAATAATTAAGTTTTATTTTGAGTTTCTTGTATCAGCTTGCATTCTGGGTCCAAATTGCCACCAAACCCTGGTAGCCCAGGGGTCTGCTACCTGTAGCTCTTCAGACCCTCAAGTGCTTCTTGTAACTATGGCTATAAACTAGCGGTAGCATATACGTATGACCCCCTGCATGCAAGTACCAATGCACCACAACTCAGACGTCATCAGAACAGATTTATTGTTTTGAGTGGGGGTCTGGAGGGTTGGTGCTCATTGGTGAGCCTGATGGATAGCCCTTCATCAGAGCTAAACAACATCAACATAAAAGCTTATCTGAAGCTTTAATGTTGAATAATTTTTGAGTTATAAGCCTTATTGTATGTCCAGACACCAGCTTTTTAGATGGAGTCCCCTCCCCAAATATGGGGTCCATCGTAAAACCGTTGGCTGGCACAGTGTTGGTTGGACACATCTACATTCCTGCCAAAATTTCATATTGATTAGTACAGCTGTTTCCATCCAAAATTTGGCCAAACATCTTGAAAATTTTTTTTTATAAATATATATTTTTAAATTGTACAAAAACAATATGACCCCTGCTAGGGGGCCATAATAAAACGTGAATTTAATGTAAGTTTAAAATTGGAAAATAATCTAAGATGCTTACATGTCCAAAGATTTTAGTTCTGCAGATGAATGACACAAAAATACAAGTTGTTCTCTGCCTATTTGAACAAATATTAGTTAACGTATTAATATAAACGTACAGCTTCCCATGATTTCAGTACCAGAATTAGCTGATTTTCACTCAGTTATTCATTAAAATGTTTAAAATTCAGTAATCAGTTTTACTGCTGAGGTTTTAGTTTGTTGGTCTGTTCTCCATTTTGTTTATGCAATTTCCAAGAAGACTGGGGACAGAAAGTCTCGAATGAAAGATTTAGCTGTTTAGATCATAAAAATCAGAAATTTGTACTAGAAGATTTCTTTTATCATTTCCACTAATATTGGAAAGAACTTAAAGTCTGCATGGTTTAAAACAAAATATGGTAATTTTCTTATTCAGAATACTAAAAAGATCAAGTAGATTTTGTGGCTCCATAATTAGTATAAATGTGGCTAAAATGGCTCATCTAAAGTTAAAGGTTTCAAACTCCTGGCTTAGACAAAAAATATAGGTTCAGCTGTCTGCTCTTCAGATACCTGGTATAAACTTTCATTGGGAAGGTTTAGTTGTAGCACAAGCTCTGGTTCCCCCATTAAAAAAAAGGAGCCACCAACCTGGTCTGCTAGTCCAAAGCACCATCTCCAACCTTCCTATTACATTGTCATAGAAAGAATAGGAGTCTGCTTGAAGGAGCTGAAGAAGTGTTGTTGTAAAAAACATGTTTGACTTTGCCTCGCAGTGAGCGTGCGGCACATCAAAGGAAATGGCGCTGTTGAAGTTGTCTAGCACCATGCTAACTTTCAGTCAGTAAGCCCGTCTCATGGAGTGGCAATCAGAGGAAAATGTCATCTAACAGCTGACGACAAATCAAAGGAAGCCCTAGATTTCAAAATAAGGAGTGAAGCAACGATAAACCAAAAGAGAGCATGTTATTAGTAAAGACAACTACTGACATCAATCAAAACAGGAAGCTGGTTTTTCCTTTGTTCTGGATTTAGTTCTGAAGGTAACAGATGCAACACCACTTCATTATTTTGTTTCTGTTGTAACAGTTTGCACACACTAAATGGAAAGAAGGAAAAGTCAAAATCACATCTAATTGGTGAGAAAAAAAATGTTTTTTAAACAATATATTTTATTCTGGTTTGTACAGAACAGCTTTGTAAAAAAATGGATGAGCTTGGAATAAATTTGCTTATGGGCCACTCTTGCAAAATTCTCTTATTGCCAACTGTTATGAAAGGGGTAGCCATGTACAGTAATTGTCTGTGTCTGTGTGTCCATTTATGTCTGTTAACAAAATATCTAATGAACCACTTTGGTTTAAAAGTAACCATTGATAATACATATACAACTGATTCATTTTAAAAGATAACCAAATTCAAGATGACTGACACAGCTAATGTATCTCAACCAAATTCAAAATAAGGAGTGAAGCAGAATGTTTTAGTTTTCAAAATAAAATTGACATAAAAAGTAGTTTTCCTTCAAAGAAAACTACTTTTATTTTAAAAGATATTGCACGTTTGATCTCCATTATTATTCTAGTCCCCACAAAAACATGACATATTTTTTGCTACTAAATTGGTGTCTGAACCAACCTAACAGAATAATAAATCCAAATAAGTATTTTCACCAAGAAAAGGTTGGTAAGAAAAATTAAACACTCACAAAGAACTTTGACTCCACAGTACACAGAAACAGTCCTCACTAACCAATGTTCTTTCACAGGAAATGTTAGTTAACAGAACCTCCCTTTCCTTTCATTTGGAAAACCCTCTGATGTCCCCAACACAAGCAGGATAAAGGACTGCCTGTTTTACAGAACAATACCCTGCAGCTCCTTTGTTATATTCACACTGCTGGTCATAATCCTCAATTCTGAAATTTTGCTTAAAGTGTGTGATCGTTCACATTATAATTTAAATGCAACTTCCATCAGTCTTCAATGTGACCCTGAGGATGCATGCACAGAAGAAAACGTGACATTACACATTGTGTTTAAGGGAGCAGTCAGTGACAAAAGCATGTGTGTACCGGTCTGAAAATTGTGCAATGTGAACTGAATAAATTATTATCTGACATGTTTGTTTGGTCCTGTGTTAATACTTGTTTTTGCCTCTTGACATCTCATCTGGTGCAGCATTGTATTTGTGGAACAGGATATGATGCATTAAAAAAAGAACCAGAACAAACCAACTGGACTTCTGTTCTGCAGAAGAGGTGTGGAGTTCCAAGTTAAATTGCACAAGGTTGGTATTAATGATACTTGGACAAAACTTTTTTTCATGGGGCAGCAAGTGTCAGGGACAACATAAGAAGAATGGGCCTCACGCAAGAACCGTTGGTACGCACAGATTTGTTCTTAAGTTGTGCGTACGAGTGATTTAGGAGAATTTGTGGCATTCACCAATGTTTTCATATTCTAAGATTTTTTTCAGATACGAACAAAATTCAGGAGTGGTCCAGACCTGTCGTATATTTTACCAGCAGTCAGTCTGCTGTTATCCAGACGGGTTTTCTTCACTAATAATGGTGCGTTCACACCAAACGCGATTTCAGCGTCAGGAGC